GGCCCCGGAGGGGTTGGCCCCTTCCCTCCTTGGGGGGCTCGTGTAGTAGTACCCCGCACCCCTGTGTGCCTTCTGTGATACCTCTTCGGTTACACTTCTTTCACGCCCCGCTGATTTTGCAAACGAGCAGCCAAGAATTCATCACTTTTGCGTTTTTCTCTCCTGCCTTTTCTGGTCCTACAGCAATAAGCCTGGTGGAGGGAGCTGCTGTATGTGGTGCTGTGCCGGGTGTTGGACAGACCTCGCCCACTGCTGGAGTGCTTTGCTGCTACAGCTCCTCACCCCTGGGTCACTTACCTGGACCATGCTAGCGTGAATCAAGTTTAAACCGTTCCTTCTTTACAGCTCCATTTACAAGTCCACTTGAAGCCATCTTCCCACAGCTTTTCCACTAGTGACATCTTTGCCCACTGTCTAACAGTGTTGCTCTGGCTTCTATGCTGCTATTATGCCGAGAACAGAGTCCATGCAACAGTTGCCTTATTTTACTGCTTCTCCGTCCTTTACACCTACAGGAAGTCAGATCACTACTTAGTTCTAAGTTTAACAGTAGTTAAAGCAAGATCCTTTTAGGTAGTTACTAACAAGAAGATCGCTTAAAATATCTGTGTGTTCTCTCTAAGATTACCTTTGCCTTTACTTCCCTTCCATAGGGAGTGGTACTTACTCATTGTATGTCTGTCCGGTTCCATCATAAGCTGTTAGTGCAGTATCACTGTTAGCTCACCGACTAGCCTCTTGATCCTTCTGGAAGCTGTCACTACTCTTTACGTGTATCTCAGTGAGTAAACGGACAAAATGATTATCAGAAGTGACCAATTTCATCCACATTGTTTCAAGAAACAAACAAACCATGTTCTCAGCATACATGATCTATGACTTAGATTCTCATAAAGTGTATCACTAAAATGGACATGCCTTTTAAAAATTGGTCTACACTTACACCAGTACAGATATTTCAGCTAAGGATATGATTTAACAGTAGAGCTGCTTTTAAACAGTTTGTACAAATGCTAACTGAGCAAGGAGGAAGCTTAACTTCTGGTGATCTCACTGTGCGCCTTGGAGAGGTGACATGCATGTTAAGCTACCGCTACAGTCCCTAACCTTTTAAATGGAGTTGATGAAAGTCCCTCTGAGGACCAAAGCCCACACTGTGGGCTGAGCATTATGCAGCAGAACATCAGCAGTGTGGTTCCTGGGGGGCCTGTGGGAAAGTTTCATAACTTGTCAGCATTTCCTAACCTTGTAATTTCATATATCATACAGGGAGGTAGAGGAGAGAGAGGATTTTTAAAACATTTAACTTTCTTCTTTTTATTGTGATTTAATAATCAGATATACTGAGAAAAACAGCTTTGTTATGGGCAACTTCTGCAGTGAGAGTGGCAAATAGTGTCAATTCTCAGCAAGTGAGTGGCTTTTAAGAAGAAGACAGATGTAATGAAAAGCTATTTTTAAATCCTTTCTGGACGAAAACAGGAACATAGAGTTTGCTGCTCTAACCAAAGTGCATGCTGCTGCGTTTTTAAGTCCTTTTACCTTGCTTAGGAAGGGTGGCAGCATTTGGTCATCCCAATGACCAGTGCTAGGATCAGAGTCCCAGGGCTAGACAGCAGTGATGCAAAGCCGCTCTCACCTTCTTGCAGCAAACAAAAAGGAGCTAGCTAATATACAGAAAAAGCCCTGCAAACTCAACTACCTGCAGCCTCAGTGGAGGAGCAGCTGCACAGTATGATCTTGGTTTGAGATTGTGGCACGTGCCAGCCCATAATCATATCATGACCTGGGAGTGCACCTGCCCTTATGACTGACAGATTCCATGACAGGGGCATCCCTTCTCCCTGTCCTCCCACACTGGATCACTTGACAAGGGAGGAATCCCACATTGCCCACCCATGCGCAGTACCAGAGCTGGCTTTGGAGAAGCATGGCATAATCCTGGTGCAGCATCCAAGGGCTGCATTGAGGGACTGGAGACGGGCTAAGAAGGAGGGGAGTGCGGCTGCGGTCCTCTGAACCTTTTCCCTGCCATTTGTAGTGGGCCTGTCATTTTCAGAAAACACAGAAGATGGTGACAGATCCTCACGATGTAAATGTTTCTGTTCGTGATACAGGCCAAGGCCGGAGTTCATCAACATACAGTTGTACTCTCATCAGGTGCAGAGGGGAAGCCTTCCTCTTTCAGCCACTTCGTAGCAATGATTTCCCTGCTCCAACTTTATTTCATCACCAGATGTCCTTGCAGACTGGCAGCTTAAATCTCTGTAACAGCAGGTTGTAGGTACCTGTTGCGTGTACCCTCTAGCTTCTTTATTATGGGGTGGGAAACTAATACTGACTGTAATCCCACCTCAGTTAAAAAGAGAAAATAAGCTTTCAGGTATTACACACTTGTGCATGTAGATTCCTGTGTATGAGCTGGAATTTTGTGTCTCTTAACATGTTCTTTGAACTTTTACTGTATTCAGGAATTAACTGTTTAAAATAAAGACACTAGGGCTCTTGAGACTGACCAATGTACATTAGCTCTGCTATAAAACCTAGAATGATCCTGTGCCATAGTACAGCTGATAGTGTAAAAAGTGAGGTCCACAGTCCATACAATAGCTTCTTACCCGTACCTCTGGGAGCCTGTAGGGAAGACTACTTCTTTGTCCCCAGCTTCAACTGGGAAGCAGAGTGAAATAGTGCGCATGGATGCAATGGACCTATAAAAACAAGAGTACAGGTGAAAAGGAAGAGGCATGAAATATTTTCTGCTAAACAATTTTTACTTCTGTGTTAAAAATACCGAAGAACTACTGGCAGAATCATTTATTATAACTAATACATTTAACAACAGGAAGAAGTATCAGCTAAACCAATTAAATCAAATTCGTTGTGGGGCAAATCCATTGACATACAGTCCATCGTGCAGTGAAAGGGACCCTTGGCAATCAATTCCCCATGAGATTTATACAAAAGAGAAAAGGTTTTCCAGTCGGTTAATTCATACTTTACTACTTCAGAAAGTAAATTCAGCAGCCCCTTTCCCCCGCCATAGCTCAGAAGTAGCATATTTATAAATTCAGTCTGATACTATCAGACTCACACAAGATTTCTGGAAATTCAGCAGAAGCTGCTGCTGTTGACTCTGCTTACCACTTGCATAACTAAGGCTCAGAAAGAGACGTTGCTTCACTAGTTGAAGAGTTCCAGTTGGCCAGGGTTGGTTTCTTTGTGGAGAACCAAGATGTTGAATTGCAAAGAATATTTAAAAGTGGAGAACTTTTCCCTGTGTCCTTTGGCTGCCTGGAAGTTTAGCTCACCTGTTGAATCGCAAGTCAGGATTTAGACAAGTCAACTCCTGCTCTTGCCCCTTCTTACAAATGACATATAGCTAGTCCATAGGTGTGGTGATTGATCCTACGGGGAATGGTCATTCAGATTATCTCGAGCTGGACACTGGCTGGTCACTGAACTAGGTGTGGTGCAACTACGGTTTGTTCCTGTACCTCACGAGCAGAGACAACAAGGGTTAAAACTGCTGATGTGCCTCAAGCCAGTCTGGATGTGCAGAAGAGGCATGGTGCTAACTGCCCCAGTTCCAGGAGCAGAGTACGTAGTTTCTCACAGGCCAGTGCCCAGAATACAGTAATGCTGTGACCAGCTGGCCTGCAAGCTGTGGGATTAAAGCTGCATTCTTATTTTAGCTAAAGGTTTTTATCATCTAGTCTACCACTATAACTGGGACAGAAGCCAGTTTTACAAGCTCAAACCCAAACTGGTGGCATTTAGCAATTACAGGCATGCCTTGAGAAATTTCTTGCAGAGAACCTGGAGGAGAGCATTGCCTCCGTTTTTTTTAAACATAGTTTTTCGGGTTGGTTTTATCTGCAGCTGTGTGCAGAACTTTTCAAAGATGGAAGTTTCCCTGGGAATACTCCAGTACCTCACTCCTGCTGATTTCAAGAGAACTTGAGGCTAGCAGCTTTACGCAGGACAGCGGCTTATATCCCAACTGCCAGCAATGACGAGACCTGCTGCAGACTAGCTGTTGCTTTAGCAAGTAACGGGCCTTTCCGGCAACACAAGCGATACTGCTTTTTGCTGGGAAAGAAAGAAGAAGAAGTGGAGGAACAGGAATGGCAGGGAAGACTGTACATGGTGTACATGCCCAGCATTACACAGTCATGTAACTCACTCCACTCTAGCATCAGTCTGCTGGAAAGCCACAGGAAAAACTGCAGGTGTCCATAAAATCCTAGCTTTTTGCCCTGGTTGCCTTCAGCACGGTGCACCTTTCTCCTGAGGTGAAATTAGTGTCTCCTACTCTGAGCCCAGCATGGCCACTCCCCATCAATAGTGAAGAACAGGTCCCCCTAAGTTAGTAGATACAAACTAAGAAATCTAGGTATTATCTGAGGTACTTTGTTTAGTAATTTTGATCGTGTGAGTTCCATTTCAATCATTCATAGCAATCTTAAATAATGAATAGAGACATATCCCTTAAGATAATCTGCAAAATGCAAGAAAGCCTTAGCTAGTAGGGTAGCTTTATAAGTTTTAGGCAGCGCGTTTTTGTGGAAATCAGGGACAGATAAAGATTACTAAAACTGGACTGACATGCAGTTTGTTTTTCTGTCAACTCTTAAGCATCTTGGTCTCTTTTCACAGGAAGATTGTGGATAGAATAGATGACAACAAAGATGGCTATCTCACAACAGAGGAATTAAAAAACTGGATTAAACGGGTTCAGAAACGCTATATCTATGAAAACGTGGCTAAAGTTTGGAAAGACTATGATCTAAACAAGGACAATAAAATTGCCTGGGAAGAATACAAACAAGCCACATACGGTTATTATTTAGGTAAGATAACATTTTCAGATTATATGCTCAAAGACTATTGAGATCATAAGGCATGATTTCATGTCTGACAGCAGAAGTTTGGTGTCACATTTAGAACTCTTGATACTTGCATTGAATTTTATAAATGCTCAGAGATCAAAAGCATTTCTTAGTTGTTTATTGCAGCCGTTTCCACGTGGGTCACCAGAACACGGAAGGTTTTGTAGAGGGATTATTAAATGTACTGACAAAGCTGAATTAAAGTCTCCTTCAGTTGGAAATATATATATTTTTTTAACATTAAAAATGGTACTTTAATTAAAAAAGAATATAGTGTGTAATTAAACAGTATTTGTTAATTCAGTCTCTCTTAAACTCTTAGAGGTGCTAAAAATTTAGTCTGGGTCTAAGCTATAGTAAAGTTACTGATTAAAATAGTTCTTGCAGAATAACACGCTTCAGACGGTGATCAACTGCAAATTAAAATCCTGAACAAATCAGGCAAAAGAAGCATGTATTAAAAAATATACCTGAATCTTTTTTTCCCCCGCATACATTCCCTTTGCTTTTTATAAGTTAATGAAGGGAAAGGAGGAGAAGAGATCATTTAAGCTAAAGGGCAATGCTGACAGAACAACAAATTGGTATTAATTGACCATTTATACTGGAAATGAGAAGACAATATCTATCTACCTAGCATAGAGGCAGTTTCTGGAGCAAGCTTCCAGTAGCTGTAATAATTCCAAAATCTGCCTTAGATTAAAACAGAGGTTATTACATTTGTGGAAGGAAATATTTGACACACAGTCCCTGCAGCAGTGTCCATGGAAGCCCATGGACTTTGTCTTTGCTTTCTGTAGTCCACAAGATTTGGACAACAGCTACTACGTTGTGGTCTTGTGTTAATGCACACTTACAATTCCCATCTGCGATTCCTGGCCTAGTCCTTTTTAACTATGTTTGTCTCCTAACATGCAAATGATGAAATTGTTATGAGTATTTTTCATGTTTGAAGTCAGTTTAGTGATCCTATTTTTAAAATTATATCAAATATGATTCGTTTTATGCCACTGAACACTGAAAAAATGTCATTATTTTAAACTGAAAATAATTGTTAGGCTCTTTATAGCAGAGGCGTAACAGTTAGATCATTTCAGTCAGTTTGCCAGCTTCTAAAATCACATTCCTTTGGTTTGCTGGCTTTTTGAAACTGAAAAGTTGTGTAGATCATACTGATTCCTAAGAAGAATAAAACTTCTGTTGAAATCTACCCCAAATACTGCCTAAGCCATGTTTGTGAAAGCAGATTAAAAAACAAAAATCTGTGAAGGATGGTATACGGTACTGCAAAATCCATTATCCTGGATTCCAACAGAAGGCTTACTCAGACATTCACCTATACTACTAAGTCGCCTTTAAAAATCAAACCAAGTGCTTGACCCCTGAATTTATAACTTCACAGGAAAGAGAAGTTCCATTTTAACACAGCAGCTAGTCTGGCAATAAGCCTTTATTTCTAGACTCTAACAGCAAATTTGGGTACTTCGTTGTGGTAATATGTTTTAACAGGAACATAGTTTTGAGATAGTCTTGATTAATTTGCAGAAAATCCAGAAGAATTCCAAGATGCAACAGATCAGCACAGTTTTAAAAAAATGCTGCCCAGAGATGAGAGAAGGTTCAAAACTGCAGATCTGGATGGAGACTTAGCTGCCACTCGTGAAGAATTCACTGCTTTCCTTCACCCAGAGGAGTTTGAGCATATGAAAAACATCGTTGTCTTAGTAAGCAGAGCAAAACCAATGCCATTACTTTTTTTTTTGGTTTTTTGAATGAGCTTTGAAATGCTTCTCTAACCTTTCCATGCAGGATTTAGAGAGACACACACACACATAATAGCCAAGTGAGGAACAGAAAGGGATGCCTTTCATGAAATTCACGTGATTTAGAGCTCTCAGTATAAGAAAGACTTGTTAAATGCACTTCAACAGCTCCTAAATGGAATCAAGAAGCAGTCTTGGGGCACTGACTTAACACCAAAATGAAAGGAAGGGCATGCTCACATGCAGCAGCTAAGTGTTTGATGCAAGCTTGTACCTGCCCCTAACTTAAAACTTAAGTGTGGTGCCCAGTTCATTCATGTGTAGG